CTCTTCCTCTCCAGTCTCTCCACTCTGCAAGGGGCGGGGGGGGGGAAGAAAAACAACAGGTCAGGCACAGAACAACACATACTGACTGTAAGGGCCATCATGTGACTGAGGGATGCTGCGAAGGTCGTAAATGTGGGCATTGGTCGTGAAGTTACTTTTTCAGCACTGTTGTAACTTTGAACAGTTGCTGAATGAGGCAGTCAGTAAGTGAGGACTACCTGTATAACATTGCCAGAGTCTGAAATAGTGTAACAACCAGAAATGGCATAACACTAAAATCCTAGGAACAACCCTCTCCCCTTTGCCCTCTAGAACACAAGCCAGAAGAATCTGCAGGTCAGCAAGTGGTGACTATGTAAAAAAGGGCAAGAAAGAAAAACCCTTTAAAAAGGTTATTTTCCCCAACAATCACTGCCAGGAGCAACTCAGCTCTGTTCATGATTCTTTTTTTTTTTTTCCTAGACTCTACTCAAGTTGTGTTATGGCTGAATGGGAACTAGGAGGAGGTCAGTAGATGCCGAAATCTGGACAAACTGTTCACTCATAGTCTTCCAACACAAAATTCAAAAGAAAAAATATGTGGAAAAATTAAGAAGTCTTGATCTATCAGGCTCACTTTGAAACAAAACTGAGAAAATCCAGAATTTTGAAATCCAGGAAGAAATTCAATTAAAGGGAGTTTTGGAAAATCCCAACCTACCTCATGCACAGAACACAAGGAAACAAACCTCAATCAGCTTGACAATGTTGATATGGTCCAACTTCTTCAAGATTGCTATTTCCTGATATATCCGATCTAGAGGGGCCATGGGCTTTATCTGTCCACTCGCGTTGGCTTTTGATCCCCGAGGTGGAGGTCGGCCTTTGGCAAAGAAATCAAAGGTTATACTGAGAACTAGCTCTCATGTTGCCTTGAGGCTGATTTTTCCCCCAACTTTCAGGGACATCTATGACAACCAAGAAGTATACCTAACTTAATTCAGATGCAGTTACTTCTCTGATGATCTGAATTTTTGCATCAGAGATTACCGAACTTGCTACAACAAACTAAGATACAGTGCTGAGCTACTTAATCATTCATACAAATGTTCTTTCTCTGTGAACAGAAGGTAAAATCAATCTGACAGCAATACATCCAACAAGCAAAGCCAAAAATAGCAGCTCCACTTCACTTCAAACCGTTCTACTTTTTTTAAAACTGTAAATCCAGTGGACTAGTTTCTGGTTTAATCACCCTTACAGTAAACCCTCTGAAATCAAGAAACAGTCATGACTTGCAGAGGGTCCTTTGATTTCAACAGGCTACAGCAAGTACAACTTCATTATGATCCCACCCACTGGCTGTTTTTGCTTAACCACACTTAAGACTTCATGGCTGCTTATTTACAAGACACTAAGCCTGGTTAATCTTAATCTTGGTTTATTTTATTGCCTTAGCATGTTGTGCAAGCCCAGCTTATTTGATGAATTTATGATTCAAATGATTATGTGCACCCAGAAAACAGGTTAATGCAAAACCAGGTTATTATGCATGTAATGTGAAATAAAGAATGTAAGTGATATTGTGACTCTCCAAATGCTGCTGAATTACCAATTTACATCAACATGGTCATCTATGAAAAATGATGGGACCTGTAGCCAACATTTGGAGGGCCACATATTGCCTACCCCCATGTTAAGTGTACTTCTGAAAATACAATCTTCTACCCAAACAACTCCATGTGCTGTCATGTATCGTGTATTGACAAGTTTGATATCTTCTGTGACAACTAACATAAAAGCACATGGAAAGAAAAATTAATACACGATGCCCCCACCATACAGTTGGGACTGGCTAAAGCTTCCTGACTTATAAACAATGAAATGCTGTGTGGCAGATATCCCTGCAAATCAACTCTGATCACGTAATCCATTGTAGTCATGGAAAAAAGATGAGTAATGCATTTATAGTCCACTAGAAAACAGCAGTCTCTCCTCAGCATTTGAATAAATTACATTTTCAGGAAGAAAATATGGTCCTACACTGTCAGACCATCGTTTCAAACTAGCCTAATAATTTGGATATCGTAGGGAACTTTGGTTAATTTAAAAACAGATGTCATCTCTGTGGTATACAAAAGAAGAGAAGAATGGAAATGTGAGCCTGAAGCTCACTATAATACATTTGGGTTGGTTGTGATCTGTTTTACCAATGTGCTTTTTAAGAAGTTCTATTTTTTGTAATCAATTTTGTTTATTGTTTTGTTTCTCTTCTATTCATTTTTTCCTGTTATCCAGCCTGAGTTCCACTTTTCAGTTAAAATACAGGGTATCAATTTAACAAGCACATGTGAAATGGAAAACTGCAGTGCCTATTAACTTCTGAGTTGTGCCTTAAAATTAAATGTAATTAATCCAATCCCAAATTGCCTGGGTGGGCAATTTTTTCAGCCTTAAGTGACACATAGCTTGCCAGGTTGAGCCAGCAAATACTGGGGTGCTCAACTTTCAATGAGTGATGTGCAGCGGTTGTGTGCCAGAAACTGGAAAAAGAAATAATTGATGTGTTTCCAAAGAAATGTAGATGATACGATTCAGTCACGTACTGAATGGGTTTCCTCTTCTATCCTCAAAATAATAGATTGGTAGCACTTCTGGGGATTGGGTGGGGCAGACCAAGGATTTGGGGGACACACCCAGCTCTGAGGACTCAGGTTTACATTCCTGGCATAGTGAATGCAGATGAGGATATGCAAATTTTCACTTTTACATACAAACACATAGATATAATGCTATAATTCCCTTTCCATCCCTCCCTCCCACAGAGCACTCTCATTTACTGAGTGTGGGCTGAATAAAGGCAAAGCACCAAAAAAGTCCATACCTCATAATTTCTTTGCATGTAGCAGGACAAAGTTTAATTTCTTCTCTCTCTCTCTCTCTCCCTCCCTCTCTCTCTCTCTCTCTCTCC